GAAGTGAATTTCTGGAGCGCCAGAAGTTAAGAGCTGCTATTGCAGGCGATACCATCCCTTCCCACAAAGCAGTAGCCTTGTATTGGGGTGGACCCTTGGAAGAGGCTACCCCAGTCTCTCTCTCCATAGCAGATCCTCAAGCGAGACAAATTGGGAAGGGTTTCCTGAAGGCAGAAAGTTCAAAAACCAAACAAGGCTCGATGCAAAAGTTGCATGGCTTGGTGTTGTGTTGTGGAGTTTGCATGGGCTTTCTGCTATGAAGGCCAGCATCTCTCTGGCTCATGATATGAGTCTGTCCAGGCTCAGGGTTAGAGCTCTTGCTTCGTATTCGGAAGGTCACAGCTTCAGTACCTTGGCACTGGGTTTGAAAAAGATCAGGTAGCATGTAATGGAAAATGCCAAGGTATGCCTGAGGCCCAGGAAGGCGTTGCTGCCACCAATCCGAGTAAAGAGTCCTGGGCTATCCGGGCGCACAATCTCTCCTGTGGGGTGGATCTCTCTTACACACAGCAAGGTCTGAACTTGGGGCTTGAAAGAACCCTGTGTTCTCACCTTATTCACCTTATCAGAGTAGCCGCGTCGCTCATCCAGAACAAGAGCTGGGTAAAATAATAACTTTTATTGCGTCCGCTCATTATCTAGACAAGCGCTGCCAGCTTTTGAACCCCGCAAGTCCTTCACGTGTTTGCTCTCTGAATTGGTGAAGGGCTTAATCCGTCCCACGGCTTACGCTGCGGTCCAAAGAGCCGAACGCTCCAGTACAGCTTCTGCACGTCTCCTGTTCACCTCCCAGGAGCCCTGTTTTCAGACTAAGACCGTGTTGAGCAAGCTGGGTGTAAGTTGGCACGGGTGCCGTGCGTGGCCACCCAAGGGTTGCAGGCGCAGGCCCCCTGTTCGCACTGAGAGGTTGCCTCTTTGCACCGAGGAGGGCTGTGCGATGGTCCCCGTGCGTGGCAACTAACGTGCAGTTTTCCCCATGTTTTCCTAAACGATGCCCTCCAGCGTTGCATGGAGCTCCATTGCCCAGCCCTGCCTGTTTCGCACTCACCCCCTTATTGTCCTTGTCTTGTTTTTCTCCCTCTTCCCCATCATCTTTTCAAAGATAATTTTCTTTTCTCTTCTCCTTGCATAAGGGGGGGGGGGACACCTTCCTTATTGGCCTCTGTCACCAGCAACGTGAGTGGATCTGTAAGTGGCTTCCTCGTTTCCTCTTCTGTCTAAGGAGCCTTGGCGCATCTGAAGTGGGTATTCTGCAAGCTGCTGCGTTCTAGGAATTTTTTGAAGCCGCGCGCCGTTTATGGAGGGCATTGCCCTGGCACACTTTTTGCTCTGCATCAGGAGCACCCAAAATGCAGCTTTGCCGAGGTTGCTGGTCGGCAACCTCCAGCCCTCCTTATCTTTGGCCCTGCTGGCTAGGGCTGCTGGCCCATTTGGAAGCGCGCGCGCGTACACACACACACACACACACACACACGTGCGCGCGCGCGCACACACACACACACACACACACACCTTGGTGCCGTCCTGTTTTAAAGGAGCAGAGTTGCAGAGGGCGTACAATGATCTGCAGAATCTAAGAGCTGCCTCCCCCTGCTCCCGATGGTCCACGCCACCATTGCCCGCAACCATAACCACAGAGGATTACTGTGAGAGCTGTGACATAACGTATTTGGAAGGTAGCAGGTTGGGGCCAACGCTAAACACCCTCCTTAGCTGAACACTGTAAGCCGTAGCCGCGATGGGCTGCTTTGTCTTTCGGGCATCCTTGCCGTCTTTCCTGATCCATTGCTTGTTTGTGAATCCATGCAGGCATCATCCTTGCAAATCTATGCCAAAAGCTGCTAGTCCATGATGTCTTAGCTAGTCATATGCTGTTCCTCAAAGAGCCCCGTCTGTCTTCTTACAGGTTTCGTAGAGGGGTCCTTGCCGGCTGTTTGCAAGGGTCGACAAGCAGAGATTCCGTCCAGATGAGACAGAAGGGCTGCTTGAGGGCAGTTCGCCCACCTGGGGAAATGGGATGCGGCCTGTTCTGGATGGGGTTGCCTTGCCATGAACTGCTGGATAGCTCACGGGTTTAAAGCATCTGGCTGTGGAGCCAGAAGTGGGGAGTTCGATTCCCCCACTGGGCCTCTTTGACAGGGGCTGGACTCGATGATCCAGAGAGTCCCTTCCAGCTAAGACTATTATTACTATATCATTAAAGCTTTTTGGGCGGCTGCAGAGTCTGGGGGCTGCCCTTCGCCCATTCCCAACTCCCGTGGTCTGCACTTACAGTCTCAGGAAAAGTGATTTGGGGGCTAAGACAAAATTGTGTGCAGTGGCCCCACACAATTCCTACCTGTGGATCAGGTCCAGTGTCTTGATCAGAGTTGTGCTCTAAGAACAAGCATGATTGCTGAGAGGTTTGGGTGACCCTCTCGCTCAGAGCACCATCCTCTGCAGAGTTTTATTTATTTATTTATTTATTTATTCAATTTATATGCGTCCTCTGCAGAGTTACCTGGGTGAAGATGGGTTTGGCTGTACGAAGCCTTCCCCTGGCGACTTCCCAGTGCGCGGCACATGGAGCTGCCTTTAACGGTAGGCTCACAATTGGTGGCGGTCCTGGAAAGAGCTGCACGGGTGTTGATTGGAACTGGGCAATTAAAGCCTATTACCAGCCACAGCTCCCAGAGGAATTTGATCGCACTTTCCCCCCACCTCCGCTGAAAGCCCACTGTTGTCCCTCTCTCATCAGGCTGTTCCCAATGCTTGAGAAAAATAATTCTCTAGACTCTGTTTTATACTGACAAAAGCCTGAGAAATCCTAAGCTTGGGTCAAAAATGGTGGCTTCAGCTGCAAAATGTTGCAAAGAAGGCCCATATTGCCTGCAGTTAAAGAGCACTGAAATAGCTAAATTATAATGCCGTTATTAATTTTTTTAGGTAGTTTTGTACCCGTTGACCTCCGCATGCTGTAGTTGCACAGATCTGGCTACTTGGCAGAGAAGGCGGAACAGTCGAATTCACAGATCCAGTTGGCCACCCTTGGCCGTTTTCATCCAAGCCCCCCCCCCTTTCCAGGTCATTTTAACTCTGAGGAATTAAGCCTCCTAAGAATGTTAGCCTTTCATTCCTGCCCTCACCCGAGTTCCAAATTCTCCAGAGTTGGATTATCCTTGCTCCTCATGGGTTAGAACGACACGTTTGCAGTCAACCGTGGGGGGGGGGTGTATTTGCTGAGGGTTGAGCTGAAAATGTGGCCCTGCTCCTAATGCACGTCCAAATCACAGCGCTTTTTATTTTGTTTTGATCGGGTGTAGGTGGGTGAGCTCACAGTCACCGCGATGGTGTTTTGGGCTTGATGTGGCCGCACATGATGGAAACATCGTGCTCCAAAGACGTGCGGTTTTAATTAACAGCTCCAAAGAGAGGCATCGCACAGCCACAAGTATGAACAGGACCCAGGGGTGACCATATGTGTCTCGGGCTGTCAGTGCCCACCTGGTCTTTGGGGACCGAAGGCCAGATCCTAACCGGCAGGCATCATCCAGTGCAAAATTTGCCAGGGTGCATGCTGTCCCTTGCAGCCCGAGTTGCCTGCAGGAGAATTTCCCAGTGAATGGATCGTGTCCGTATTAAGGAGAGAGAGGAGACGGCTTCTAAATTTCTAACTCAGGCACTGAGCTTCCTGGGGCAAGCCGGTTCCTTCTCACTGCCGCAACGGTGCTTTCTTGGGCTTATTCCACGGAGCCACTGGACGCTCTCACGGCGTCGTGGTTTCCCTCCCTCCTCTCCCCTGGTGCCACCCTCGAAGGAGCCTCGGAGGGGGGTGGGCTGTGTCGTGCGGCTGGCAGGCGGCGTCGTGGGCCTGCAAGGAGCCCAGTCTGTGCAAAAGGACAAAAATCCACGGCCTTGCTAAGATTTGAAATGGCTCTGCTTCGCCGGAGTGGCACCCGGCCAGGATCAGTGCGTGGGGCAAATTCCAGCAAGCCTGAGGTGTGGCCTGAGAGTTTTGAGGAACACAGGAGGGCGGCTTGAGCTGTTCACAGAGTTTGTGCACATCGTCCTGCAGGAGACCGCAGGGTGCAATGGGAGGGAGGCAGGGGAGTGTGTGGCGTTGTGTTCCTCCACTGAAGCCTGCTTGCTTTGATGGCGTAAATCCTGTCGGCAGAGACCCAGAGAGCAACCTTAGTCCAGGGGGAGAGAGTTCTGGATCTGTAGCGGTTCCTGGACTGCATTCGGGCATACCTCTTTCCTAGGCTGCATAGAGTAGATCGCTGCTCAAAAATCTAGGAGGCCACCCATTTCCTACCTTTTCTCTAGACTGAATAACAATATAGCAAGCTGCCGTTGTGGAAAAAGGTTGGAATTAGAGGTTCCTCCTTTGGGCACATCCTGAGGAAGGAAGGATTCTCTGGAAAAGGCCATCATGGTGGGAAAGGTGGAAGGGAGCAAGGAAAGAGGGAGACCCAAGGTGAGATGGATCAAGTCCCTAAAGGAAGCCACAGGCGGAAGGGAGCAAGGAAAGAGGAAGACCCAATGTGAGATGGATAGAGTCCCAAAAGGAAGCCACAAGCTTGAGTTTGCAAGAGCTGAGCAGGAGCTGTTGAGGACACGGCATTTCTGGAGATGGCTAATTCATGGGGTCACCTTAAATCGAGGGTGACTCAACAGTCCAAAACAACAATAACCAGATGAAAGCAGGTCTGTGTTTTGCGATTTATTCATTTAACCACCTTCCCTTCTGCCATCCTGCATCTGAAATGATATTTTGAAATGGTGCACAAAAGAGGTTAAAGCCTTGTTTAAAAATGAGCCCTCCCAATCGTTGACGTTGTTGCACGCTCCGTCGGGCGCTGCCAACTTCATGGCAAACCGATGAATGCGTGATCTCCGGAAGGTCCGGTCGTCAAGAGCCCGGCTTCGCTCTCGGGAACTGGCAGCCAATTCCACGGGCCATTGGCCTGCCTTGTTCTCTCTACGGAGCCGGGCTCATTGCCTCTCTTCCTCGCAGGTAAATCACACATGGCCATCGTGCAGAAGGTGAACAATGAAGGCGAAGGGGACCCTTTCTACGAAGCGATGGGCTTGGTCACGCTGGAGGATGTCATTGAGGAGATAATAAAATCGGAGATCATGGATGAGTCAGACGACTACAGTAAGTGGTTTCTGTGCAGGTATGGCCGTTGGGAGGGGGGTGTCTTTTGTTTATTCTTCTCCTATCTCTCTCTCTTACTCACTCATTGTTTTGTTTTTAAGTCAAGGTACTCTAAAACAGGCAAGACGGTTCTTGGGCTCCCAGATTATACTTCTCTAGAACTACCGCTTGTAAACGGGACCTCTTTCAGATCACAGCTCCCAGAATCCCTCGGTCCCCATAGCACAGCTGGCAAGGGCATTCTGGGAAAAAGCGACGTGCAGGTCAGGATCCCGAGTAGAGTTCTGCCGTTCCGCTGAGCAAAGCCACCTCTTAAACTGTGGCTCGGGTGCCTAGTGGAAGGAGGGAGGACCCTAATACGAAGGAGGGAGCCGGGGTGCCTCAGGGAACGGCAGAGCGTTCTGGGACAGGTGGTTCCCCCCCAAAAAAGGAACATTTCCCAACTTTAAGGAAGGCCTGAAGGGAGGACCATTTTTGGACAACTCCCAAAATAAGCCAGCCAGCAGGACCCCAGGGGTATTTTGGAAGCTGCCCTCCCCCAAAATAAATAAATAAAAAAAGGGTCAGGGAAGCAAAATTCGCCATTCCTGAAGCAGAATTGGGAGGCAAGTGATTCTCGTTGCTCTTGTTACTCCGCTGGAAACAAGGAATTATTGGGGATCTGCTGCAGAGCCACTCACAGGTCAGTCAGTAGATCCCACCTACTCAGGCCTTCAGAACATCTTTTCTTCTAAACCAAGATTGGTGCATCACTCACCATTAGCTGTGTGGACTGGGGATAATGAGTGTTGCAATCCATGTGCATCTGGAGGGCTAGCGGTTGACTTCCATTTTCCATACACACTGGACGGATTTATTTTTTATAAACAGCCAATTCATCGTCAACCCTAACTAGACATTTTTACCCAATCTCCTAATAACCTTTGTCCGTCATTCTTGGTATGGTTCTCCAGAGTTTGAGCTCCTGCTGCTGTTTTCTAAAAGGGCACACAAATGCTTTGCAGTAGACCTCAGTGTGTTCAATTAACTCTAAAGAACTTCACATCCAGGATGTCCACACTCACATAGGTCGACTCAAGAGGGCCTGCTGCTTTTCAGTTTTTTCTTCAGTATTCATTCCTAGTGCAGAGATTGATTTGGTTGTTCATGGGAAAAGTTTATGCAATTACAATTCTGCAGTTAATAAATCTCGATTTAGGGGTTTGAAACAGCAGCTAGAATTTCACTCTTGCCTTCTTGCCCACAGTAGGCAGCCGCCTGGGGCCCGGTCTGCACAAATCTGCAAGGCGAGACTCTTAACTCACTGCCGAAAGTCGAGCCTAGAAATGGATTGTACCATTTGGTGGGAGGAGAATTGCATCTTTAATGCTCCCCTCGTACATTAAGCATGTCCTTTAAATGCAAAAAAATAGCAAAGAGGACCGGTTCTTTTCCGCACAATGTGCAGTACTTTTTAAACGTGTTTGTGAATGTTTTTGTTGATTTACTTTGCTTTTACTAGGGAAGCACGCTGGAGCACACCTGTCATTTTAGAATTCTGTTCCCCTTATCTCTCTTCTGTGGTTTTCCTGCCTGTTTGCAGAAAACCCACCACCACCTTAATAAAACAATATTGGATAGAACAGGTTTAACTTTTCTTTTTCCTCTTGCTTCCCCCCCCTCCCCTGTGCCAACTCTCCAGGGGAAAATAAATTGAAAAAAAAACCACCTCCACTTGGGACACTGATGGATCGCAAAAAAGAAGATTTTTCCTTGTTCAAAGTGTCCGACAATGAAAGTAAGGTGAAAATCTCCCCGCAGCTACTCCTGGCTACACAGCGCTTCTTATCCAGAGGTAAGACGAGAGAAGGGATCTGCTTTCCAAATGTAATGATCGAGACAGCTTTGCTGATCCATATCAACAAACTGGTTCCAGCAGTTTTGATGAGGAGCAGGTTTTTTCTAAAGTCAATGGGTCTCAACTGCCCATTCGGTACCATACCACCTTGAAATATGTTGTATCATACTTTGCATATTGCTGCCAAGAAAATCTACCATTCTCTCTGAAGCCACCCTGAGGATTACAGCTAAGCTCAGAGATGACGAGAGAATCTGCGATGGGGCGGGGGGCATAGACGACCTCACTGGCCCTCCTGATCCAAAATTCCTACCCCTGTGTGAGCCTCGGCTGCATTGCAACACTGCTAAAGGCAGCTGGCAGCCTGATCAGCATATGGAAATAAACAGTGAAATCGAAAACGCTCAGCAATCGAAACAGGCAGCAAGTGGAAAGTGAACAAGTCATGGAAATTAAAGTTTTAACAGCTCAGCCAGGCCAGCTTTGTATCGGAAGAGGTGCCTTCCTGAAAGCATCCTCGTGCTTGTTCCATGCGCCTCGCATGCTTTGAGCATGCATGATTGGCCAGCCTTTGTTTAATCTCAAGCAGTCTGGTTTATCTGTAGCAGAGGTGGGGTTGGGGGTGGGGTTGGCAGCTTGCTAGATAAACCAATCATTTGTTCTCTGGTTGAGAGATTTTGGGTGGTTATTATAGCTCCTTATTACATTTCACAAGCAGAAAAGGCCCTTGTTTTACATATGCTGGGCTAACAGCTGCTCAACAGCTCAAGCTGGATGAATCCATCACTTCCATGTGTTTCCCTGCGCAATTCCATTCTGCTCCCCCATTCATCCATGATTTAAAAAACAGGACCTTCCCCAAATAAGTATTTCTGTGCATATTGTAAATTGTATTAAATGCATCTTTTCTCTCGGAAGTACATGATGAAATATGTGCTTTGATATATATTTAGTCAGCTGAGAATTGAGCATCTCTCTGTTTTTCTAACCCATTAAAGTAGACTGTAAGAACAGTGTTGATTGAGTTTTGCTCTGTCATGATTGAGTTGATTGAGTTTTGCTCTGTCTCAGTTGATTGAGTTTTGCTCTGTCATGATTTTTTTAAGCTAACAGGAGTCCTGGTGCTTTCAAACCTCAGGTTCTACCAGTCAATTTAGCTTCAGAAGATTGTTTAAATTTAGCGCAACCCCAAACATGAATCTCTGGCTTTGCTTAATCTTCCTCTTTACTTCAGCTCTCTGCTAATACTGAAGCCTGCATTTTTCCCAAAACGTGAGACAGATCCAGAGTCTAGATTGGGCTTTTCTTTTCAGAAATGTGAATTGGCCATTGCTTCTTTGCTAGAGAATTTAATCTGATTCCTGTCACACCTAGCATTGACTAATTCGTGCCATGTTCGTCTCGAGGCTTGGTTTACAAAGTACAGACCCCCACAGGCATGGCATCTGGCCTAATTTTGGTGTCCTTCACCCACATCATCTTCTGCTTTCGCTTAAGGAAGATGTGCCTGAGGACTCAAAGGCTTAGGACATTTTGATCGGTCCCAAATAAAAGTGGGTTTTGGATTCTACCAGGCCCTCCACCTTTGTCAACATGGCTGCCTTGGCTATGAATGAGTCCTCCTGGTTTGTGTAAGGGTAAGGGAGCCCTTTCTGTTTCCGTCCTTTCTGCCATTTTTTTTAATGCTTCTTGGTTGTTTAAACAAATCGTGGTCAATGCAACATTTGATTCCCACTGGTGCAACCTTCTCTGTTTCCTCCACACCCAGAGGTGGACCTCTTCAGTCCGGCTCGGATCTCTGAGAAGGTCTTGTTGCACTTGCTGAAACACCCCAGCGTCAACCAGGAGGTGAAGTTCGACGACAGCAACCGTCTCTCCCCCGAGCACTACCTGTACCAGCGCAACCAGCCGGTCAATTACTTCATTCTGATCTTGCAGGTACGGCTTTAAGCCAACGTTCCTTTGCTGTCCTTGTTTGGCCAGACTCTGGGTTGGCTCAGCCAGGAAGAGAGAAGGCCCTATCGTTTACGTCCGGCTTTACCTCCAGCGAACAAAAGAGGCCGTAGACGGTTCTCGTTCTCCCTCCTTTGTTTCACAACAACCCTGTGGTGTGAGTCAGACTGAGAAAACATACGACTGGCTCAGCGTCACCCACAGAGTTTCATTGCTCTGCGTTTGAGATTGGAGGCATGCAGTGGATTGATGCTCTGGCTTGCCCTCTATCAGGACTGTCTCGGAGCTGGGCTGAAGAGGAGCCAACAGGGTGATGTGGCTGCAAAAAAAAAGAGAGGCTATTTTACGATGCATTAACGAAGTCTAGTCTCCAAACCCCAAGAGGTACTAGTTCCTCTCTATTCAGCTCTGATTTAGGCCTCATCTTCAGTCCTGTGTCCAGTTCTGGACACCGTACTTTAAGAAAGATGCCAACGAACTGGAGCAAGTTCAGAGGAGGGCAACAAGGATGATGATCATGGGGACTGGAAATCAAGTCCTAGAAAAAGGAAAAACTGTAAGAACTGGACCTGTTTAGCCTTAAAAAAAGAAAACTGCGGGGAGATAACAGGAGAGCCCTTTTCAAAGCCATGAAAGATAGTCCTGCAGAGTAGGGGCAGGATCGGTTCCTGATCCTCCCAGAATACAGGGCATGTCATAATTGGGCTCAGGCTACAGGAAGGCAGAAGTAGGCTGAATATGAGGAACAATTTCTTAACTGTTAGAGCAGTACATCGATGGAATGAGTTTTATTCATTTTATATCATGGGGGACGGGCAGATTTGCGGTCTTCCGGCAGCAGAGTTTTGCAACCCTTCACCGTCAATACCTGGGATCAAAGCCCTGCTGCCCCCCACCCACCCCCAGTACAGTTCTGCAGAGGCCTCCTTGCTCTGTAAACCACAGGGCCCGTGTTCAGGAGCAGCAGAAGGAATGAGGCGGAAGCCAGCTGAGGTTCTAGAAGGGGACGGGCCACTCTGGCGACGGGGGAACAGGGCAGAAAGTTTCCTCTTTGGAGTGAAGCCGTGCCGCGATCAGGCATCTTCTCTGCGAGGCATGCCATTGGGCTGGGTCTGTTCCCTCGTGTGCCCTGGGGAACTCTTTGGAAGAAGGCGCTGGTTTGTGGGTGGGGGGTTCCTTTTTTTCGGGACAAAAAGACAACCTTCTATTGAAGTGGTATGACCCATTGTACTCCCCTGTCCTCTGGGAAGCGCCCCCCACCTGCCCAGGGAAGACCTGGCCCTCCACATCCTGTGGCCATCACCACCGCTGGCCCGGCCTGTAAGAGGGGAAGCCGGAGGGCCGTTTTTTCCCAATCGTGAGAGACCCTCTTCAGGGAAAACCTTTCAGTAGGGGTTTACGATCTGCAGCAGCTCCTGTGGGGGTATTGCAAGAGGATGATTCCCATGGGGAAAAAACAACTTTCCCCTTAGCCTGAGGCGTCAGAGAGGGCTAACACTTGTGTTTTTTTTAAAGAAATGCAGTTATATCCCAGCAAAAGCCTAAATGGCTGTTTATTTTTGTTTTAATACCTTTATATGTTAGCTCTCCGCCAGGAGGACAGAAGGGTGACCGACAATAAGGTCTTAAAAGTGGTCATAAAATCCAATATTGCATTGAGGAAATGCTTGTTTGCCTGGGCGTTCTGTTGACAGTACAGAAAGTGCAGGTTATAAATCTTTTAATTGGTTCGTAGAAAAGAAAACTCAAGACGTGTTACATAAAACAGCAGCACGCAGAGCAAAAGGACCAGAAGGAGCCACTCAAGAGGTGCCAGAAAATGTCTTAAAGAAGAGGCCATTCCTGCCTGTCCTACCCAGGCTAGAAAAATTCGGAGTCTATTGCCTGGCTGGATAGCTCTGTGGTTTAGGTCTCTGGCGGCGAAGCCAGAGTTTGGGAGTTTGATTCCCCCCTTGTGCCTGCTAGGAGAAGAGCCAGCCTGGGTAGCCCTGGGCAAGCTGCACATTTCCCAGGTCTCCCCCTAGAGGAAGGAAAGGGTAAAGCACTTCTGAGCCCTCTCTACCTGGAACACTCTGAAAAGGGTCACCATAAGCCACAGTTATATATTATATCATTGTTTGGGATTGTGACCTAAACATCAACATGGTCACACTTTGGCTTGCCCTGTCCTCCCTCCTGATGTCATCAATGTTGCCATTTAGGGCATTCTCACATGGCTGTTCACATGCCTTCTTCCCCCCCCCCTCCAGGGCAGGGTCGAAGTCGAGATTGGGAAGGAGGGGCTGAAGTTTGAGAACGGGGCGTTCACCTACTACGGCGTCTCCGCGTTGACAGCTCCCTCATCAGGTGAGTGGCAAATGGTCCCAACGCTTTCCCTCAGGGGTAGCCCACCTTTCAGGATGGGGTGGGATGCTCCTTAAGCCCTCGAGGGCAATAATGCCAAAAACATGACCTTTTGAATGCGGTAGGACTGACGTGCTTATGAGATCAGTACCCACGGTTTCACTTATTGCTGCCTGGGAAAAAAAAATGAAAAAGATAAAAATGCCCAGAAATGCACACTCTCAAGATGTATTACTAGGACTGACCCCTAGATGGAACCAGAGACTATGCTCTATACAGGTGGCTTAACGGAGATACACCAGTGGGATCACATCTCCGAGGGAAGCGGCTTTTGGTGAAATGGAGAAACTCCATTTGTGGGGATGGGGGGGGCAGCGGCAGTTGCTGGTTTCAGGGAAGGCTCCTTCATGAGCAGCAGGGCAGGAAACCTACTCCTTTGGTGCAAGTGGGCCAGGCCTCCCTCTCTCAACCATGCACGGACGCCAGAGAACCTGGAAGTAAGTGCTTCGTTTATCCACTATTCCTGGCACCTGCAAGGGACTGGGGACCGATCCCGCACAGACACTGCAGTCCTACTGCATTGCTCTTCAAATGCATTCCTTGGCTTGTTCTTCTGTTAACGCAGAATTAACATGTTCATATATCCATCTATTGGAAACGATTTCCACTGATTTTCCAAGAAGGGCAGACTTTGCGGGGGGCGCCCTTGGTGTTTGAACCCCTGTCCTGAAACTTTCCAGCTTCCAACCGGTGTTTTCTTTTTCCACAGTCCACCAGTCCCCCGTCTCCACTCTCCGAATGAACCGCCGCGAGCAGCTGGAATGCACAGAGACCCCCAACTACACCGCGTACTGTCCCGACTACACCGTCCGGGCCCTGACCGATATTCAGTTCATCAAGGTGAGCGCAGGGGATGATCTGGAGCACACCTGCTTTGGGATCATCGCCCAGACACCATACCCCCCTCTCCCATTTCCTTTTTTTTTTTAACGCAGGTGGGTTGAACACACACCTTGTTTTGAAGTAAAGCGGTGTATCGCCTTGGTGGTCCACATGCTTTGATTTGAAAGGGTTGTGTGAGTTTTCTGCTGTGGCCACTGCCGCGAATTCAACAAAAACAAGCGGGAGGTGCCTAAAGAGCCAGAGGCGGAAGGGTACATGCTGCTCTGGATTAAAGATTGCAACCAAAGCAAACTGGCTCAGTCAATGTAGGCTGGAAATCACAAAGCTGAATCCGACCTAGTAGCAGCTCAACGTATCTCCTTACGTTGAGGTCTTCCTAGAAATGCAAAAGCAGAGAAGGAGCTCAGCTTTGAAAGGCCATCAGTATGCATGACCGGAACGTGGACCATGGTCCTTTAGGGAAGGGGGGCTGTGAGTCTTACAGTCCCCCAATTATCACGGCCACCAGTTCTAAGTCAAAAAAGGACCTTCTTGTAGAGACATTAAGTTGGAAGGGCCCTCTAAGGCTGTCAGGTCCAAACCCCTGCTCCATGCAGGAACACAAATCAAAGCAGATCTGCCAGGTGGTTGTCTGAATTTCTCTTGAATGCCTCCAGTGTTGGAACGCTCACCACCTCCCAAGGTAAACTGGTTCCATTGTTGTACTGCTCTAATTTTTAGGAAGTTTTTCCTGATATTCAACCAAAATCTGGCTTCATGTCACTTGAGCGTATTATGACATTTCCTGCCCTCTGGAATGATGGAGAACAGATCTTGCCCCCTCCCTCTGTAGGACAGCCTTTCAAGTATTTGAAAAGTGTTATTCTATCACCCCTCCTATCTTCTTTTATCCAGACTGAACAGGCCCAAATCGTTCCGTCTTTCCACCTTAGGGCTTGATTTCCAGCCCCCTGATCAGGACAGTCTTTCAAGCATTATCCTGTCACCCCTCTTGCCTTCTTCTATCAAGGCTGAACAGGCCCAAATCATTCCGTATTTCCACCTTAGGGCTTGATTTCCAGCCTCCTGATCATCCTCCTTGTCACCCTCCTCCAAACCTGTTCCAATTTTGTCAGCATCCTTCTTAAAGCTGTACTACAGGGGTTGGGTTCCAAAGGAGTCTGTGATCACCGGATCACCAAAGCACGTGAGCCCGAATAACACACAGTATGGAAACAATAATGATTCCAGAACGAAAGCGTTCTTTGGTGAACCAGTTGGGAGACACTGCAGGACAGCAGCAGGTTAGCCCCTACTCTGTCTGGCGAGTTAAGTGGATGGCATAGCCATCTCTGGAAGAACCCCATCTCTGCTCTCATTGATTAATTGGTTGTCTTAAACCATTCATAGCTCCATTCCTCAATCAGGTGTCACATTATCCCATTCAAAAAAAAAAAAGAATTATGTTTAATATAAAAATGACCTCTGGATTAGAAGTTTCCCCCTTCCATTCCCATACAAGAGGGCATGCTTTCTTTCATGCAGTATTTTCCTGTGATGCAAACATGAAAAGAAAAGGTGCTATTTAATTCAGAGTGGGGGCATTAATAGTACCTAAACCTGTGCTGATCAAATCATTTAACAACATAGGCCCTCCATTGCAATTGATGCAATTAACAGTCTTAAGATTTCTTTAACTGCGTAAATCATGCACCTGTCTGTGTCGCCCAGACACAGCTTTTGAAAGCTTTTGAAAATCATCCTCTCCCAGAAAGCCGGCACCGGAAGGAAAAGGGAAAACCTTTCCAAACACTATGGGCCAAATTTGAAGCAGTGGCTCATTAAGATTCCTTTGCTCCTAACTGGAGCGCCTTGCTTCGCGTGAACCTGCGTCTCTGCTTTATTCCCAACCTCCTCTTGGCTGAGGTTCAAAACGGTCTTGCTCAAAATGGTGAATCCGTCTCCTCCCTCCCTCCCCTTCAGGTGACTCGGCTGCAGTACCTCAACGCCCTCATGGCCTCGCGGATACAGAATTCCCCCCAGTCCCCGGAAAACATTGAACTGAAAGTGGTGCCCAGCAGCCAGACCAAGCTTCTCAATGACAAAAATGCTGCGGCAGGTAACGTGTGTGCAGCGGTGTGTGTGTGTGTGTGCGTGCTCTTCCACTAGATGGCACTGTGTCGATTTCTCTTGCAACACCCAGAGCACAATTCACCTTTTCTCCACCTGTCCGGCACCCGGGGGCTGCCCGCTCAGGTGAAGCTCTGCTTATCCCTCCTGAGTTCATGAGCAGATCTCAGCCTCCTTCTTGCCAGAAGCCCCTTAAATTGGGAAGCCTGTCATCTTCAGTATATAGTAGGAACCCCCCCCTTATCTGCAGGATCAGTATCCACTGATTCACTTATCCGTTGCCTGGAAATACTAAATTAGAAAACCTGCAGAAATACATATTTATATGTATATTTCCAGAGTGTATTTACCAGAACTGGCCAGCTCATACCCGTTCTAAGAGAGGTGGTGGCTATCTGCTGTCAAGTTGTCTCTGATTTAAGGCAACCTTATGAAGGAGCCACCTCCAAAATGTCTTCTCTCCTCACCGGTCCTACTCAGCTCTTGTAGACCCAAGCCTGTGGCTTCCTTTAAAGAGTCAGCCCATCTTGTCTTTGGCCCTTCCTCTTCTCCTGCTGCCTTCCGCCTTTTCCAGCAGGAGGGAAAGGAAGCGTCACAGGAAGGGAAGATGGGGGGATATCGGGTTGGGGGGACAAATGTCGAAGGGAGAGCGGTTTGTGGAGAGAGGGAAAGAAGCAGATGTGAGACGGAAAGGGGAAGGGACAAATGTCGAAGGGAGAGCAGTTCGTGGAGAGAGGGAGAGAAGCAGATGTGAGACGGAAAGGGGAAGAAGGGGGCTGTCAGGCAGCGAAAGAAGTGTAGATGGCCAGGGAGAGGGGAGCCAGAAGGCCTGGGGGGGGAAGCTTTGCCAGAGATGAAGAAGGGAGTGGATTTTGAAGGAAGAGGAGAGAAGGGGTGCCAGTGAGAGAGGCAGGGGCTCCCCCCGGGATGGCTGTACAAGAGAGGGTAGGGGACAGAAAAAAGGGGCCCTCCCTAGCTTTTGACTGTGGCCCCATCCACAGAGAGTTTCGGCCCCAACTGTTCCTGGCATGTCGTCCCTCGAAGATGCAAGGGAATTTGGGGGGGGGGGAGAGGAAAGGTTTTCCTCTTGGCGCTCCAGCCGAGCCCCTCTCTGGTTGGTTGGCCACCTCTTCCGCATCGCCTCGAGCCCTTCGAAACAAAACACAACACCAGATATGAAATCAATGCCCAGCTCGGCCGCAGAATTCGGAAAGTGGCCCCGAGGAGCCCAAGAGAAGACAGTGGTCAGAGCAGGGTGGAGGAGGTGGGGGGAAGGATGGATGAAGACCGTGGTGATGTCGGAGCAAAGGGAGAGGACAGGGAGCGGGGAATGATGGGTGAGAGGCAAGAAAGAGCTTTTTTGATTCCTCCCCCCCCCCCGAACAACAGGGGT